ACTGCATCACCAAAATAAGTTGCGGTTTTTACGCCGGGATTTCAAAATCTATTTTATTTGAAGACTTTCGCCAAAATTTAAAAAAAAAAAATATTAATATTTAAGTGAGTTGGACCGATTTGAAAATACTTTAAAAAATGGAGTTTTTTATGAATCCAAATAGTTTCTTAAACAAACAAAACAGTTTAAGCTTAAAAAATCTGCATAAAAAATTTTAAAAAAATTTCAACGGAATCATATTTAATAGTGAGATTTTTGTTGCTGTCGGTGGAAAGTTTCTCGCCCTTTTTATTTCTTTGCAAAAAATTCATTAACGTCCCTTTTTCTCAATAACAAGACTTCTCAATTCAACTTGGAATGACGCTCGTTTAAGTTAACTTTCTCTTTTATGCTTTGAATGAGTTTTAAAAATAAAAAGGGTGGACATTTTCTTTCCAATGAAACATACCTCATAAGTATAAATCGGCCTTAGTTATAAGTTTTTCATAAACTAATTTTTAAAAAAGTTCAAAAACAGCATCAAAAATTTCATTATAATTCCGTTGAAAGATTTTTTTAATATTTTTGTACAAATTTTTTAATATTAAACTGGTTTGTCATCTGAGCTAATTTTTTTCAAAAATTCTTTAAAAACTTAAAAAAAAATGTATTCTTAAAAAAATAATAGCTAAAAATAAAGTAGCTTTACAAAAGGTTTATAAATTGAAAAATGTACGAAAACGTCAATTTATAAAGCCTTTTAAACCTACTTAATTTTTCGTGAATAGGGCCATACATGTTTTGAAGTATTTTTAAATCGGTCCAGCTAAACTAAATCTTATATATTCTTCCGAAATATTTTGGTGCAAGTCTTAAAATAGAATCGATTTTATAATGCCAATGGACAGTACCGATTTTTATTTGCATCTATGGGGAATAATGCATTCTAATGTAGGTACTTATCTGCATTGTATTTTTGCGATGTGATGAATTCAGAACAAAGTCAGTAATACAAAGAACTGCAGAATTCCGATAGAGCCATGATTCACTCTGTTCTTACTTTTTCGTTATTTTGTAGACAAATTTTTTTATAATGTTTCGCGCCGCTACTCCTTTCAAGTCATATCGCATAAGCACATTCCTTAGGACCATTTCTATTACTTACTTTGAGAGTTTTCAAATTCGCTTAGTTTGAAATGTTACAATGTACATATTTCGACAGGGACAAATAACATAGAGTTATGTACTGTGTATGTGCTTTGGGTTCTCGTCACATTTTTCAAGTGTTAACGCGCCGCCTAGCGTAGGCACTCAACTGTGATAACGATGAAAATAATCGAAAACAACAGTTACAATACATACACAACTACAAATATTTAGCTTTGAAACGAAAAAATATATAAAGTGCAATTGAAATGACCAACTGACCGAATCATTGAACCAATGAATGCGACCGACATGACACTCAAACGTGTGACACATAAAAATACGTGAGCACAAATATACATATGTATACATACATATTTAGTTGTGTAGTGAAGCATGCAAGTGCATAAATTATTTAGCAGCACATATGTACATACATACGATATATCCTCCATATATATGCCAGAAATTTTAAATACCAACAAAAATGCAAATATGCGGTTTAACAATTATAAGTAAAAGCAGCTAGGAATTGGAAAAATAAACAAATGCCTACAAATTGAATTGGAGCACACGACCTCACTTTGCAATAAGCTAGCGAGAAGTTGTAGGTGCTACTGTGTGATATGTGGAGCAACAACTGGAGTGCTAAACATATAAAATAGGATCACCACATTCAACCGCATTTATATGGGCATTAGATTGGGTCGTACGCCCATAAGAAAAGTATGATAAGACAATCCCCGAATTGAAAGCTTATATAGTACAGGTAGATATAAGCCGTATGAATAAAAACTAAGCAATAAGGCTTTCTTCAAATTTCAGACTTTTTACTTAAATTTTTTTTAATAAATCGATTAATAGGTCTCAAAAATTTAGGAAAAAGCAATTGCTTAGTTTTTATTCATAAAAAAAAATTGTCGGGCTAATCTGAAGACAAATGCGATATTTTATCAAAAATTTGGCATTTTACGACTTATTTTACTATTTAGGTATATGGTCAGGGGTCGAAAAACAACTTTTTTTATCTTTGACTGAGACAAGGTACGATGGGCGGTTGAGCCCCTAGAACCATTCACAGCTGTAGGTGCTAGCAATACTTGGAAAAACGTACGGTATATTTGGCAGCAACTATCAGTCATATTTTTTTGAAATCAGACAATTAGTTCATTCTCCAGACTGTCGAAATACTGTTAGACCTGCATATACTGACTGATACTTACAACTGATTTATACTATACTCAGTGTGCTTATGTCTAAGGAAAATCAATGTATTCCGCTCTGCGGTAAGTGGTTAGTAAGATCGAGGGGATTTTGATAATATAGTCTATGGATCTATCTCACTACTATAAAATTCATTGACACCAACGCCCTTGGGCAACACTTTCGTAAATATTAGGCCTATAATGGGTGTCAAAAGGGCGATATTCTTTCTGCCTTACTTTGGTCTCTTGTGCTGGACGACCTCTTAACCAAAGTATAGGAGTGTGGTTACGATGGTATGCGGCAGTATTGTCTTAGAAGTTATGAGTGCAATTGTGCGTGGTCGGATATGGGGTCCGAAATCGAAGTTAATAGAATGCCTATACCGTATAATAATCTGTCCGATTGTCTCTTATACCTCCGTATTTGATGGCCATATTACATCTTAATAAACTTCGAAATTTAACTTAACTCTTAGTGTATCAATGAGAACTTGGTTACCGCGGAGGTATTTTTTATACTCTTTATACATAGAGGTTTGGAAATATGCGGATTTTTCGACTGCGCGCTAAGAGAAATATTTTTTGCACAAAAAAAAAAAATACAGATAATAATCCTAAACCGACACGTTTGGGCATATGGACAGCCTACCTTTGATCTATGACACTAAACTTCTCATTTCAATGGCCAGTTGGCCCGCAGTAGTTCAGGACGAGGTGCAAGCAATTGAAAGGTAATGTTATAGTTATTTTTTAAGACAGAAAAATTGGCCATCAGGGCTTGGTACCAGTTGTGCCATGTTACTGTGGAATCGGAGGAAACGAGGTCGCAATCGCACTGTGGCGAAGGATAGCACATCGTCTATGAAACAAAAGTTGTGGCATAGCTAAAACCAGCCTTAAGTGTCAAGGGCTTTACATTCGCAGTAGAACCTTTTGTCATTAGCAATTTGTCTACAAACACACTTGCGTTTAGAATTTATTAGAAAAGGTGATTGTTTATTATTCTGGCAGGTTATGTCCCATATTATAGAGATACATACGTCTGTTAGGTTACAGTGTACTTTTTTACACCGAATTTATTTACTAACTAACAATCTACTCTTCGCGTTTATCAGCATTTAAATTGAGTTTTTTTTTTATTTTTCCGATACACCCTAATGGATATTACTGAAGTACTAAGAGTAACACAAAATAAACTGCACGGTCGAATGACTATACATGTATGTTTAAAAATTAAATAATTTTAAGCAAAGGCAGCAATAAAAAATTGCAATAAAATTAAATAATTTTTTAACTCAACGTTGCAATTTTACGAGAGATATTTACGTATTATTATATGTATTAGTTTAGTTTTCATTTTAAAAATAATATAACAGCTGTAGCTAAAGATAAGGCCATTTGAAAATATCTAATGGATGTTTATAATCTATACCAATATAAATACATATACACCTGCTATACGTACATACATATGTACATGCATATTTTGCCCTGAACGTATGCATACATACACGCACGCCCATTTGCCGCTTCGTTCATAAGCCGTTTCGCTTTTTGACCCGCCTTGTACTGCTATATCGCCTATTTGCCTATTTATGACACATTTGTACGGTAAATATACGCGCGCAGTTAAGTGGAAAATGTGCATGCGACACAAAGCGATTATGCGCTAATTAAGTGTGAGCAACAACAAACACAAACAAGTACACACTCATATGGCGATAATGCGCTAAACAAAAAGTTGACGCACAGTTATGATGTCCAAAATTTGCGTAGCTTTGAATGTAATACATACATACATACACACATATGTATGTATGTGAATGACTCTATGTACGCGTGCGCAACAAAAGACTTAGGTGACGTACTTGAAATAATTATTTATGCATTATTGATTCGCGCCACGTTTACTTGAGTATAAATGCAAATTTTAAGCAAACCAAATTGATTGCTTATAATTTAAATTAATTTACGTGACATTGAATGATGACAAAAGCATAAAGCTCTACCAACTTTTAAATTTTAAAAATAATTTTTTAAAAAGAAGCAAATCTTTGTTCTTATTTAGTAGCCAGCTTCACGAAAGCAATTTTAGTAAAAAATTTTACTTTTTATTTGCTGGTAAAATTGGCAGTAAGCATGAAATATTTAATTTTAAAAAATTCAGTCCTTTCCACAAGTAAAAAATAAAAAATATGTTACACTGTTTGATATTTTCAGAACACGCCTATCTTAAGGTACGTTCAGACAGAAAGCCGAGCAAAGCAAGGCGGAACAAAGCGAAGCTGGTGACGTTCGCACTGAACGAAGCAAAGCGGAGATTTTCTCATGGACTTGATTGCAAAGATATCACACAACTCACCGTTAATGAAAATCGGCAGAAATATTTGTTCAATTTTATTCAAAATATATATTTTAAAATTCGTTTTTATTTGAATATTTTGATATCTTTTTTACAGCAGCGTCGTGAAACTAAAAGTTATATAGAAAATTCCAAATCAAAAACTGCTTTAATTTGAGTTCCAAAGCGCCTCTGAAAAGAGCCTTCTGCTTTCACTTTAATATAGCTACAGCAATTTGAAAGCTACACTCAGCTGGGAACGAATTCGCTCGGCTCGGCTCCGCTTTCTGTGTGAACGTACCCTTAGGAGGTACTAATCACTTACTCACCTAATTTTTCCTGATGTATAAAAAGTAATTTTTTCCAAATTAAGTATTAAATTTATGCCGATTTATAAGCACATTTATTCATAGAGCTCATTTGTCGTTGAATTTGCCAAATATCTAGAAAGATCCAGCTCGTAAATTGTTGTCTGAAACAGAAGGATGAAATTCAAAACTAGTAATTAAAATAAATAAATAAATAAATAAAGACAAGCTTTTATTAGAGGTTAACTAAGAAACAAAAATCGGCCCCGCACCGCCCGACGGCGACATTTTTTGTGGAGTTATATCTTTCCATTTCAGTAATACCATATATGTAGGTTCTAAATGTGAAACAAATTGGACCAAAAATGCGGATTTTTTTAAATATCTCGACCCGTGCGCCACCTATCGGGCAACTTTGTGGAGTTATTCCTTTTGATGCAAGTAATATATATTTCAAATATGAACCATATCGGACCATGAATACTGGTTTTTTAAATATCGCTACACCTGCGCCACCTAGTGGATTAATTCATCTTTCATTTGCATTATCATGGGGTCCTAATTTGAAGTTTTAAGTCTATTGAGCATCGGGGAGTTGGTTAAAAATGTCTTGCAAGATGTGGTTGCACACAGGTGAAGGTAAATGAAATGAAAATGAAAAACTTAGCGCGTAGTTTTACTTATAAAGTACAAAATTACTTACCGGAAAATCCGATAGCTCAAAAAATATCGATATCTCGATAAATTTCTATAACTCAAAAATTTATATATCTCGATACAAATCGATAGCTCGATAAACTTCGGATACCTATATATATTTCTACAACTCGGTTCATTTTGATACCTCCATATTTTTCGACAGCTATCAACAAATTTCGATAACTCGTTACACTCTGGTAACACGCTAAAATTCAATAAGCAGTGATAACTCGATCAACTCACTATATAACCTTGAAATTCGGATGACTCGATATATTTCAACAAATTCTCTTCGCCTTTCAGTTATTCTAATTCTTGCGTATTTCGAATTGTTTTAATTTTCGTCTTTATATTCAATTTTGCCTTCATTTTTTTGCTATAATCGTTATCATTTATTTCTTCATCATCAGATTTATCTCTATTACAATGTTTAATTTCAAGTACGAAGTCAAACAAAATGCGAAAGCAACTCAAATTGAACAGGTTACAACAAAAACTATACACTAATACGAACATTTTTAAACAACGATTTTGGCCATAAATTTCAACCAATTTTGAAACCTTTCAAGTGGTGTTCCTGGTTTTGAAATCGGTTTGGTGGAATCGCCAAGATTTATGTTAGCGTATTAATATATAGATTTAATATTAATAAAGCATTTAAAGACTTCTTTTTTTTATGAATTTGGATGTAACTTTTTTGCGGCAGCTCTAGAACAACTTTAAAATTTTTTGATATTTTTTTAAGAAAATCATATGTACATACTTAGAAAAAGTGAAAAAAAAATTTCGCCAGACGCCGCTCTTGTAGGTAAGCGGAACGAGTACTGCACTTCTCCTTTTGCCGAGTAGTAATTCCCGGAGCATCCTGTGCCCAATATTCTTTGCTAGAATTCCGCTTATACCCCCTTTTTCCAGCAGGCGAAGTTGATTCGGCTCCGCTGGCTTTGCCATATCGTTCGAATGGACACCGACGCTCCAGCTCTGAAAGTATTCAACTCGGGACCCACTGGTGGTAGCAGAGGCAGAGTGAGGCATCCACTGCGATGGAAAGACCAAGTGGAGAAGGACTAGGCTTCGCATGCCATTTCCAATTTTCGTCAGTTGGCACAGAAGAGAAACAACTGGCGTGTTCTTTTTTTTTTTAGATCGGCCAAAATCTCTTATGGAATAAAAAAAATAAATTTGCGTAATTTTCCAGAGTAGTTAAAAATTTGCATCCCGATAGGTCTCAAGTTGAAACAGTATACATATTCTATCATCTCCACATAAAGGTATACACAGTAATTTTTAGCAGCACCGATTTGTTGTAATTTGCATGGCACTCATAAAGATTGAATGAATTCCTGGCCATACAAAGCGTAGCGAAAGTTTAATAAAGTAAGTAACCAGCGACAAGTATCAAATCCAATAATACAAACTTTAGTTGAAGGATGGCTTACATTTGAAAATGCTAGGTACAACGCTATTGTTTATACTTGGAAACTTAGCTGGAATACATAAATGTGCAAAAATAAAAATAAAAATAAAAATTAGCGCACGTGCAGCATCCGCGCAACATCCAGGCAATTTTAAAACGTGGCGAAGTATTTACAGCATACTTACATACATACATACATGCAGCAGTTGTTTGAATACAAAGTTTCCGCTCACATTTGTTTTCTACTTTAACCTATGCGCCAACCTATTTGCGATGCAAAATGCCAGAAGCAGACAAACAGACCGACGGCCAGACAGGCAGACCGTCAACAGTAAGTAGGCAACCCATTTCTGTGCGATAATTAATTTTCTTCTTTCTACACTATAATTCCATTCGCCTTGGGAGAAGGCAAAATACGTATGTATGTACATTCGGGTGGTCCAAAAATGCAGTAAAGTCAGAATTTTTATTCTTAAAAATCCATAAAAGTGCCCAATTGTTTATTTAATAATGTTTTCATCGCAACTATAATTTCCGCCAAAAACCCACAAAAATCCCGAATTTAAGAATTCTATATCATTTCTACGAAAAGTTTTTTTTTCCATATAAAAATACATGGAAAACTTTAAACGCTTTGGGCGACCTCTAAATATTTTTTGATTTCAAAATAAAAAAATAGGGGTATACTTTTTTGGATATAGAATAATCCTAGGGGGTGAGAACATTACAGTTCCGACTTTACCGTTTTTGGACCACCCTAATGTACATATATATGGATACGCTTACTACATGTATGTGCTAAAAATCGAACGGCTAGACGGTGCACACCCATATAAGCATACAAAAAATGTACATATATGAACGTATGAGTTGTTAGAAGTCACATAAAATGCTGAAGATGTGAAGTGAAGACGAGGAGAGTGGGTTAGCATAGCTTAGCCGTGAGCGACCCCATTTTGTGGCCTTTGCATATTTTCATATAAGAGGTCTTCATATGTGGTTTTCTTGAGATTCACAAATGTTTTCGTAGACTTCTATAAGTATATCTTAATTTAGCGCAAATCATATCAGTAAGTAATTGAAATTAGCATTTAGAAAAGCAGCAGCGAAAAAAAAAGAAATCTACTGAGGATTAAAAGTAAGCAAACGCACAAGCAACTGTAAAAGGCAGGTGATCTAGCAGGCACAGTCGATCGTTGTCAATTAAATAATAAATTTCTTTTCTGAATATATCAGTTTCCTTTTAACTTTTCTCTGATTCACATGTAACTTTTGATTGAATATACAACTTAAACCGAAGATCGGCGTTTATCCTTGACACAAGCAAAATCGAAGCCAATTAATAGCATACATTTATGTATTTCACATCAACCAGCAACATAAATTTATATGTATTTTGGCTGGCTGGCATGCGCCAATGCGCGAAGTTTGTGTCTTAAGTCTTTTGTTCAGCTATGCGATATTGACCTTCTTTTCGTTAATCTTTTCACTTTTTTGAGTTTTATAAAAACTCTCATTTAAAAGTTGTAAAAACTTTATGTAGCCACAGTGAATCAATCATCATTAGCTGCGGTTTGCATTCTTGTCTCACTTTCAAGAATTCCGAAAGTGTTTTTCAAATTACTTCTAACACTTCTTTAAATAAAAGAAAGTAAATTTATCTGTGGTATTAAAAAGTTAATGTTTTGCTGATTACTTTTGAGGGTTCTGCACTCGTCTCGCGAGTCGTCGTGTTACAAAGTTTTTGTTTGATGCTGCGGCTGTGTTGAGTGCGATAAACCATCTTTCTATTGTCTCTTAATCATGGTAATTAAGTGTGGTAACCTACTTTATTTTTACCACATTTTGGTTTTATTTTTTCGTTTGTTTTTGCTTTGACCTAATTTTAATCCTTTTTTTCCAGCAAAAAGAGTTTTGGTTTAGAACTATTGATTGTTGTTTAAAAAGTGTAGATTAGGTCGCGAAATAAGTGTTGCACTTAGTTAAACAACAATGTCAATTTGTGGGCAAATTTATTGAATTTTCGTGAGTTTTACACAAAGTTTAGATACATTTTCACTTTTTTTTTGTTGTAGTGTGAGCTATGTTGTTATGAAAATTGGCCGAAAATTTTAAGTACAAAGTTACAAACATATCTTGCCCTAACCGCCAAAATAACGTAAGCGACATTTTTTTCAAAATTTTCTTTTTGATGCAAAAATATTCCTAGAGCATCTAGATGCATTTTTGCATCAAAAAGAAAATTTTGAAAAAATTGTCGCTTATATTATTTTGGCGGTTAGGGCTCGATATGTACATTGTGAAAAATTCCCCGTGCCAAACACATATTTATATGGAAAATTACAATTTATAATTTGGTGTGATTTTATTTAAACTTTAATTTATGTTTTGAATTATTAAAAAGTATTTACATCAAAATTTTGTATGATGGAAGCTTTTATCTATGATATTTTATTTTAGTTTTTCTTATTTTAAATAGAAAAATTTCAAAAATACGGCATTGAACTTGATGTCCCGGTTTCGTGAATGCAAAAGTTGGCAACCGTGCCCTGAACATGTCTTGTGAATCCTCTAATTGCTTACTTAAGCACCAGTCTGTTAGGTCAATTTGGTAAAATAAAATACGTAGAACTCGACTTACTTAGGTCCATCGCCTTGCATGCGATTCTATAATTTATCTCGAAAGCTCCAACTGTATGAATTGTAGATCAATGTTCGATTCGTGCTCACTTGTAATGCCTAATTGGTGGTGCTCCATTTCTATTATGTGCATATAATAAGTAGCGAGTGACTGGCGAGTGTAAAAAGGTAGCAATTTTCTTGAAAGCTTGTTGCAACATACCGCAAACATACATACATACATACATACATACATATGTGGCAAGTAAATGCATAATAATACATACAAGTATCTGCTATTACGTGCATGCATGTGTGAGAATATTGCAAAAGATTTGGTGAAAAAACGGCGGTGAGATAATAGAAATAAAAACAAAACAAATCAAAAATTAAGTCAAAGCATGCAACAGTCGTCCAGTAGCCCCACAA